ACATTTTAAAATATGTAGTATCTAATGTTTGTCTGATTTGTTTATCAATAAAAAATAATTTTAAATAAGATGAAATGTAATGTATTTGCTATTATTGCATTTACATTTGTTACGTACCTCTTTTTTTAAAGTGTCCCCCTTTAGGATAAAATAATTATGGTCACACTAGTAATGMAAAGAAATATTAAGGAAATATAGACGGAATAATATTATGCATATATCGTTGGCATACTAGGTAGTATATATTATGACTGATAGAGAATTTCCAAAAAATGAAATGAAGAAGTTAGTATGATGTTAATTAATTAGTCACATTTTTGTGTTGTATTTTGAATTTATAAAATTACGGAATTCTTTCATATTTTAATTTAGTTGTTTTTATAGTTATTTTTATTAAAAGGCTTATAAAATGGGACTCAAAATACTTTTAGTGTAGTTAATCATGTATTATTAAATAATTGACTGAAATACCTACTATATAACTTAATTGGATAACTAATTTTGGATTTATAAAATAATGTTCCTATTTCATAGACATAGCATATAGGAAAAGTGTCAACCAATATAAATTAATATTAATAATGTAATGAAACCTAATTATATTAAATTATAAATTGATCAAATTGGCATTTCTATAAATCACCTATTAAATTTACAATTTTCCGTAAAAATTTAAAATTTAAAAGTAATAAGTATGTGAAAAAAACCAACATAACCAACCTCCTAAAGTCATATTTGATATTTTAAAAAATTGTGTTGAATTAATATACCAATATACCTAATTAAAAATGTCAATTTTAGGAGTTTTCATGAAAATTGATTTTATAAAAAATTTGGTGATGAAACAATGGTACATAGATTGGTTAACATGCTCTCCATCAGAAAACAGGRTATATTGTTCACACTGCATGTTATTCGGCAAACATCGTCAAAGAGCGTGGGTCCATGATAGATTCCAACAATTTAAAAATGGAACAATAGCCTTGTTGACACATGAAACTAGTTCAGTTCACGTGGATGCCACTCTTCAAGTCAAATTGAAAAAATCTGTTTTGCCATTAATACTATAATTCTATAATACTATATTTCTATAATAGAAGAACAAAGAAAGCAAGTAGCTTTTAATAGAGAAATCGTGAGTCAACTAGTAGAAGTCACAAAGTTCCTTAGACAACATTCGCTCGCATTTAGAGGTCATCGAGAAAATTGGTCAARAATCATCAAACAAAATTTTAAAGACTTGCTATTGCTTCTGAGCAACCATTCTCCTGTGATTTCTGTCCACATTGCTAACATAAAAACACATTCTAGAAAAGAATTATCTTTCATTAGTTGGGATCGTCAAAATTTATTGATTAATGCAATATCCCCAGAAATAGTTTCTTTTATCAAATCAGAATTAAATAATGCACAGTTTTTTGTATACGTATTGATTCAACATTTAATATCTCTAGAAGAGAAGAAGTATCATTCATTGTACGTTATGTTGAGGWCTCATTATGAAATTAATGACCGATTACTTGCAATGAAGGATTCAGTAGAAACCGCTGGACCAGCTCTATTTAATTTATTTTCAAAAGTAATAAATAGTCACAATATTGATTGGAAATCATATCTCATTGGACAATCATATGATGGTGCAGCAAGCATGCAGGGAAAATATAATGGGTTACAAACAAAAGTTAAAGAATTATGTTCTCAAGCAACTTTTGTGTGGTTAGGTCATGCTCATCGTCTTGATTTGATAGTGGTTTGATGTCGCATCTTGTTTAGCTGCTAAGAATCTATTTGGTTATCTAGAAAAGGTGTTTGTGTTTATTAGTTGTAGTAAAAGGCGAAACTTTCTATACCGTGAAAAACAAAAATCTTGTACCCCAAAGCAAGGATACAAGCAATAAAAAAAGTAGAAACTATGGTATGGATGTCACAGTCATATGCACCTGCCACTGTCCTTAAGACACTTGATGCCATTTTAGATACATTAGATGAAATAAAAAATGTAGAAGGTCAAGTTAATTTCAAAACTGGTACTGAATGCCTGAATGCAATGGTTTAACTGAATATTTACACTCTTTTAATTTTTTGCTTTTTGCAAATATCTTTAGTAAAATGTTTGGTTATATAGAACCTGTGAGTAGAGCACTTCAAGCCCACAATATTGATATAATCATAGCCATGGACATGTTAGCAAAAGCACAAAAAAATATTGAATCACTTCAAAATGATGATATGTTCCAAAATATTTATGAATCTACTAAAAAAKATGGAAAGGTATTTAACTTTGATTTACAATTAACTACTAGTTCCAATAGATGAAGACAATTCCCTTGCCAATATGATAAAAAAATTAAGAGATCAAACATTAGAAGACCTTGTATTATCCTACAAAGTAAATACATACTTTGTGATTTTGGATATTATCTCTGCAGATTTAAAATTAATGATAATTACATTGAAGTAGCAAAAGATTTATACTTGTTAACCCAAAAATGTGTTTCAAATATAATGGAAAAATCAAGTTTTCCACTAGATGCTTTTGTTTCAATCTGTAAAGTTTACGACAAATATTTAGTCCTAGTAGATGTTATTTGAGAATATAGTCAATTTATTAAATCCAAAATCAATTTAAATTCTGGGATTACAGTATAGATAAATTATTAAGCAAAGTTCGACTACTTGTTAGAAAGCTGCACAACCAAACTTATATTTATTTAATCAAAAAGGAGAAATTAAAATTGCCAATTTTGGATTGCCTAACACGTTGGCACTCAGCATTTGACATGCTAGTGAGATTACAACATCTAAAAGCATTTATCCAAAATATGGCAGCAAATGACCCTAAATTGAGAAAAGTTGAGTTGAGTCATTAAGAATGGCAACAAGTAGACATATTATTTACAACTCATTTACCCTCCAAAAACGTATACTAAAAAATTGCAATATGAGCAATTAACTYTGACTCTACTGATTTTTATGGAGGTTGGATTGCTTGTAGAATCAAAACAGAATCCTTGAACAATACATTTTCTAATAAGTTGGTACAGAGTTTGAAATCTAGAGAAATAAATATTATGAATAGGGAACGGATTTTAATTTAAATAAATATTTTTATGTAGTAATAGCATCAGAAAGTTTTCGATATATGYATACGTTTCAATTAATTTCAAGTAATCTGATGCTAATTTTACTTTAAATATTTTAGAATAATTAAATTTTTTTATAAATAAATACATAAATTATGTAATATTGTAGAATTTTCATGTATGTTTTAACTATTTTACAAATAAATAT